AGTAACTGACATCCTAGTGACATGTACACACTTTCTACATAAAGTACACTCATTTTCGGCAAAGAATCAGCTAAACCTATAGCTCTGATACCAATAAATGTAATAATCATTTCTCGTATACACCCCCGTACATAAGTCATAGATGTCACATGACTTTTAAAACATTATTGTACTTGAAAACTAGTAAAATTTTATTTCTTTAAATAAATGGTTTAATAATATAGTTTTTAAAACATTCTTCAAATACACATATATATAATAACGTTTAAAATCCATCAAACATTAGTTTAAGTTCAAATATAATATAATACTACAACCAACTACCAAGTATCTTATCAGAGCATCACAACATATCTAAGTAATAAACATCTAGAGATGTCATACTGTTACTTATGAGGTAACCCTTGAAAGATGATATCAGCTGTACTCCTTACTCCGATTCGTACCCTAAACCTATGCATGAAAATCATCACACGCTAAGTATTCACTTAGTGAGGCATAATAGCATAAATAAGGCATTTTAAAAACATAATTAAACCATTATAAGATCAAAATACGATTTATCATATAAAATACATAAACGTATAAAAAGTAACTTGATAAGCCAAGTTTCAGTCAAATAACAAGCGAAACAATATTTAGTACGCCCAACATACCTATCAATCAATATATTCAAAAGTATTCATTCATAGCCCAATGTATGTCAAATGAGAATGCAAAGTACATGGGTTGCACATAAGTGTCAAACGAAAGTATAGGTACTGTAGTAACAGCGACACTATATTAATATATCGAAATGGTAATTCACAAACTCATTATGAATACCATGAATACACACATAGTGCCGAAAGTACACAAAGTTACTTGATACGAAAATGCAACATATGCATTAAACAAAATCGATCGATAATCATTATACTCCAAGTATGTCAAAATGCACCTATGACTCTCAATGCACATACAATAGGACTTTAAATCAAATTTTTAGATTAAACATTTATTCTAAAACATCGATAGCTGTTAAAATAATATAAAAATTCATTCATTTATTTTAGGGAAGTTCATACCCTAAAATTATTCTTAAAATCATTTTCATAAACTTTATAAAAATATTTCAAAATACGGTAAAACATGCTTTTATAAAAATATTCGAGGTTAACTCATCGCAAGTCATCCTCATATCATATAAGTACATAATAAATGCACTCGCCTGGTATGCCTCACTATTATGCCTTACTATCGAAATCCGATTATTCTTGAATTTTTTCCTTGCCTTTTGCTTTGCTCGTATCACGAGTTCGATCACGATCTACACGAGCATCCATACAATGCATATACAAATATAGAATACATGTTAGTATTCTTACTAACATTTAATACTTAATAATAATACTCCAAAAGTACTAATATTTTCGAATTCTTCTAAAATTCATCTTAACTTTTCCTTTTTATTCATATTGGGCTCTTGTCATTGATTCTTCAATTCAAGGCCCAAATAAGCCTAATAATTTCCAACATTAAAATTTCATCCCAAATACCTCAACAATTCCATATTTACCATTTAGTCCACCCACTTTATAAATGTTTACCATTTAGCACTCAAACTTTGTCAACTTTCCAAAATGGCTAAACTTCACATTTAACTTCAATTTTAGTCCCTAAATAGTCATTTCCAGCATAGTACAACAATCATTGAAAATTATACAACAATCCATAACTTTTTCATAATTATCAATTTGGTCCCCCAATTGTCACAAAATTACAGATTGACCCAAAAATTTCCAAGGCTTTTAGAACCTTTTTAATATCATTTCTAAGCCATATGAAATTTTTTAAAAATTTTCCCCACCATCTTCCTCAAGACAGAATGGTTTATGTACCCAAGATTAGGATTTTCATGATTTTACTCGATTTTGATTCGATTCAAGCATGAAATCAACCTCGATTCAAGCTTATATAATTAATACAATTAAATCCCTGATCAAATTTTATCATAAAAATAATTTTCCTCCAAGATTAGGGTTAGGCCAAAATTACCCATAGCTTATATAGGCATGTATAGTTGATATTAATCATAAATCATGCTTGTAATTAATTCTACAACATCAAAAACATCAAAATCCTTCATCAATTCCATAAACCCTAGAATTTGAGATCTTTGAACAGAAACCAAATTAGAAAGCAATAAAGGTACAAATGATAGCATTTTTTAAAATTTTCAATTTTCTATTTCACGTCATAATCCAAAATCCGATGAAAATTGCTCAAAAATGAAAAATAAAATTTCTCTTATCTAGGTCATGGGGAGCATGAAATGGGGCTGAAAATGGCCTAATTTCATGAAATTTTCATGTAATTTCATGTTAATTTAACCTTTATTTAAGCTTAAATGAATAAAATATTCATTTAATGAGAAATGTCCATTTTTCCATTAATGAAACTTGATATTTACAATAATACCAAGCCACCTTATCATCTTTCCAAAGTTAAAGATGGACAAAATATTTTGTCCTTCTCCAATATTACCAAGCAACTTTCCAAAAAAGTTTTCAACATAAATTCCGTATCAAGAATTTGATTTCAATAAAACCCCACTCTAAAAAATAAACTATATTTATGGAATAAAAATTATTTTTGTGAAAATTACCACTTAGGTCCCTAAATGTTTCCCAAATTTGTACTTTAGCCACTAAACTTTTAAAACTTACATTTTGATCACTAACAAAATTTGGGATATTACAGTTCCAGGACTTGTGCCCAATCTATATATAAAGATCAAAAGGATCTAATACTTGAAAAGAGTTAGTCACTGATAAGTTATGTCGAATCATGATTTCTTGTTACTTAGGTGATGATGATACATTGCTAAATGTCACTCATTATTTTGAATACTAGAATGGTTCTAGTAATTACTACTAATGTTACAAGAACCTACAAGGTCACACCCTAGGGTTGAAATGAGCAAATATTAAATGAGTTATACATGTATAATTTTATTTTACATGAATAAAGTATATAATTAAGTTTAATATATATTTGATATATATGTAATTTTAAATATCCTGAATATATTGATTAAATATTCATAGAATATAATTATGGTAATTATAATTCTTTTAATATATATAAATATTTGAAAAATAAGTTAGAAACCCTAAGGGTTAGGGTAATTACAATATAAAAAGAAAAACAAGTTCTAGCAGTTATTTTATTCTTTTTACAAAATTCTCTAAACAATCTGGAGAAAGAAAATTTTGCTTTCAACTAGGTGAACTAAGTAGAGGTCGAGACGATTTCTTGGAGGCTTAAAATTTGAAGTCCTACGATCGTGACTACATCGCTAGTTTGTTTTTTGCTGTAATTTAAGGAACCCAAGGTAAATCAAGCATCCTTTCCTCCCGACTTTGTTTTTCATACACGGATCTCTGGTGAGATCGCCAGATTATTTTTCGCTTCACCATGTGGTGTACCGACAATCCCAACAAGTTTCATTGAAGTTTTAATCACGTATATAGAGCCTCAAGAAGAGTATTTAAGGATTGTGATATAAATCTCATATCTGAGTAAAAAGTTATGGATAAGAGAAACTTACAAAGACGAGCAATCTCTGAAGTAAACAATCAAGTTAGTAATCAGGAATATAATTAGTTCAAACGGAATAAAATGAACTGACTTGTCGAGATGATCGATAAAACACATATTGAATCTTACTTGGACATAGTCAAAGGTAATCCACTGAAAAAGTCTACAGTTACTCACCTCTATTCTTACTCTAAAATATGTATGATTTCTAGATTAATACTAGAAATTGACTCTTTCCCTTTAAGATAGTTTGAATCAGAGTTATACATATGTTATATCCTTTTAATTTTTAGAATAGATCCATTAACCCAAATGAGGAAGCGATACGCAAATATCAAAATTGATTTATGGAGAGTTTGAAGGAAATCAAATAACTCATACTAAAATAATATTTCACTTCAGAATGTAAAATATTTCATAAATAAGTTGTCCTAGGAATACATATATAATGTTGGCTAAAATCATTTTTTTAGAGTGAATCATGATGCGTTTGAGTGAGAATTCAAACACAGTTGAACTTAGCACTATTACAGGAGTTCAATTATATACTCAAATTGTCGTACAAAACAAAATTTTATCAAAACTCAAAATTACATGAGAACTTGGAAGAACATTAAATTATATGGAATATGATCCCTATGAGTTTCTTAGGAAAGATTTCATAATAGATATAGAGATTTCGGTTAGAATTTTTTAAAGGTAAAACTGAAAATCAGACACTTCAATGTGACGAGTTTGAATAAAAAATATTATTTGGACTATCTTGTCATCTCGAGGTGACGAGTTCTCCTGTATTGTAGCATTTGACGTAGATTACAAAATAAAATTTGAGGTGTCCTATTAGGCCAAATAAATTTGACGCCCTCCGTATTGGGGAAAAAGCCATGAAAAGTGTTCTCTTTTCTTTTCTTTATCTTTTCCATAGTAGGCCTAGTGGCATACAAGAAAATATTTTTAGGGTAAATACATATTTAGTCACTCAACTATCACTTTGGTTCTATTTTGGCCATTCAATTATTTTTTTAAATCATCACTAATGTTATGTTTTAATTTCATTTTGGTCATATGTTAAAAATTAATAGCACAGTTGACGTGTCACCATAAGGTAATATCATGTCATCATTGAAAAAAAATAAAAAATGCCATGTCAGTACTTTTGTTATTTTTAACGGTGGGTGATTAAAATAAAACAAAAATACAATGTTAGTGATGATTTTTTTTATAAAAAAAAGATAATCAAAACGAAACCAAAATGATAGTTGAGTGACTAAATATGTAGTTTACCCCTTTCTTTAAATGTGAAAAAACATTTCATTCATATAAGAGGCATGTAATACAACAAAGACGAAGCACTACATATCAATGCTCAAAGCAAAACCACAAGGCAAATAATGAACAAGAAAATCCCCAAAACAGTGAAATGATAGAGCATGCAGTTTATTTGCATTATATATATATTTTACTGGGGGAGCTTGTTAAGTTTGCAATAACTGTAGTCCTTGAATTTCTTAGGCTTATATTGAGGAGGATTTTGGGGATCTACAAGCTGAGGAAGTGGACCAACCACGAATTCCGCCGGTGGCTCCAAGAAGACCGGCCATGACATCCTCGTTCTCTCCTTGTCTACCGTCGTTCGGTGCAGCACTGCCTTGTACTTCCCATTGCTTAGTATCTGCATGTATTATATTATTAATAACATATTCTCTTCATTTACTCTAATATCTTTCTAAAATATTTTTAACTATTTCAAAATTATGTTGAAGTAAATTTTAGGATAAACTACATATTTAGTATCCTAATTATCACTTTTGTTTTGGTACCAAACTATGCTGAAATGATTGTTCTAGTTATGATCTTTTCAAAATTATAAAATAATTATTAAATTTAAAGAATCATTATAAAATGATATTACGATATTATAATAAGTGTAAAAATTTAAATAAATTTAATGACTATTTTAATAGCTCAATACAAATTTGATGATCATTTTTCTAATAGTTTAATAAAATTAATCACTATTTTGTATTAGTTTAATAAATCCAATAACCATTTTATTATTTTAAAAGTTTAGTAGCCAAAACGATAATGTGAGTATATTTCAATGACTTTAATGTACGTTATCCAAAGCATTATAGTACGGTGAAATTAAATCAATCCATGGTAATGGCAAGTTTCCAAAATCATCCACTGAAAAAATAATTAATCAGATATTTATTTTTGTGTAAACTACACATTAAGTATTCAATTATCACTTTTGTTATGTTTTGGTCACTTAACTATTTTTTATTTCAAAATCATACTTAATATTACGTTTTATTTTCATTTTAGTCACCAACCGTTGAAAAATCAACGGTGATGTTGACGTGTCACCATAAGACAACGTCACATTATCATTGATTGTTTTTTAAAAAAATGTCATGTCAGCCGTTTTACTAATTTTTTAACCTTAGTGACCAAAATGAAACCAAAACATATTATTAGGTATGATTTCGAAAAAATATAGTAGTTAGGTGACCAAAACAGAACAAAAATGATAGTTAGTACTGTATGTATAATTTACCCTTTTTTTGGTAAAAACAATGATAGATAAATGAAGTAAAAGAGATAGGGGTAACCTCAATCTGGTCACCGATATGAACAATGAGGGAGCCGGGGATGTATTTGGCGTTGATCCAAAGGCCATCTTTGAAGACTTGCAATCCAGGGACCTCATTGGGCACCAAAATAGTTTATCTTCATCATATACTCAATCTCCTTCCCTCCTGCTCCCTCTTTCAGCACATCTGCTTCAAGCCCTAGTCCCATTGATAGCCATCTGAACAGCTTTTCCACTATCTTTCTCATCTCCTGTGCATACTCCTCGTTCACCTCTCTACAACCAAATCAACATAATAAAAAAAATAGTTTGTGTGATTACATAGTATTATCTATTCATAATTTTTTTAATCATTAATAACATACGGACATCCTGCAAAGGCTACTACTCGAACCTAAGACTCAAGGGAGAATAACGCTGTCGGACCACTCAACCGGTTCGACATTATCAAAATTTAAACCAAAAGGAAAATCATGCATAAACAAGTTAATTTCGTCATGTGTTTTCAAACTACGACCCTCGTTTAAAATTGGTTCTTAAATTTTTGAATATGTCAATTTTATTCCTAAACTATGACTCTCATTCTAAATTAGACCTTAAACTTTTAAACATTCTAATTTTATCCCTAAATCATGACCCTCATTTTAAATTGGTCCTCAAACTTTTGAATCTTCCAATTTCAACCTAAATTTATTCAAATATGTAATTAGTTTCGATCATAGTTTAACCTAAATTTTATTTTTTTAAACATGTAATAATATAAATTGGCTCATCTTCCAGCCGAATGAATTATATGGGGATGTTGTCTTCGGATAGGGAGGATGAAAGGAGGGCTTCCACTCGTTCCACCACCTCCATCGTCCTCCTTTACAAAACAGCTTTGCCTTGGATTAATTGCTCCTCATGTTTACTGCATGACTGTTTTTATAGCATACGTTCAAGTAACATCAGAAAAACTACAGAAAACAGATATAACTGTAAAACAAAAAATATTAAAAATTTGAATTTGTATAAGTGGATTTTTCTAAAATAAAGCCACTAACTTAAGTCTAAAATAAGGCCAAGAGAAGTTCAGCCATTGGGTGGGAGTTGTAGTAATATTAATCTAAACCGTTAAATTTTAGGATATAAAGAAGCAAACGGTCAGGCCAAGGAGTAGTAATATTAATCTAAACCGTTAAATTTTAGGATATAAAGAAGCAAACGGTCAGGCCAAGGAAATTGGGAAGAAAAAAAGGAGAAAAAGACTGGGATATCACATAAACATAAACATATTATGTTTAGATAAATAATTGTAGAGTAAAGTATATAAATGGTCTCTTAGTTATAAAATAGTCTCAAATTATAGAGTGGTGTTTTGTTGAGTCTTTCAATTATTAAAAGTTACAAAATGGTCATCTGATTATTAATATGTTCCAAACTCTTCATTTTTCGTTAAAAATGGCGAACATCTGAGCTGGAAGTTAACCTATTAATTAGGATATAATAAAATATGATCTCAAAATTGTTTGAGTTATATTTTGTAGAAAGACTTTTTGTTTACAATTTTGATTAACGAGTAGAAAGGAAATGATTTATTTTCAATTATATTTATTTATAGAATAATTTAAGATAAATTATCTATTTAGTATTTATTTACACATTTATTTTTATATTTTTATTTTATTCATTTAATTATTTTTGTTTTTCAAATTATATATAATATTATATTTTGTATTCATTTTAACTTTTAATCACTTATTGTTAAATTTAACTATAAATCTAACGACAATAATAATAAAATATGATATAATTACAATTTTAATCCTTAAAATTTTGTATTTTATTTTATTAATTATAATTTAAATGACTTAACAATTTCATATTTTTTGGGTAAATTACATTTAATACCTAAACTATTAATTTTGTTATATTTTGGTACTTAAACTTCATTTTTTTAAAATCATACCTAATATTTGTTGGGACCATCGGCGCACCCCAAGGCACAGCGGAAACAAAACTCGACGGTCTCAGCAGCGACCCAAGTACGAAAAACCGAAATCAAGAGGAAAGGATGTGAATACTTACAATGGGTTCCTTGAAAAACAGCAAAGACAACATCAACTAATGGTGATCACAAACGGTTCGAATCGTAAGCCTCCACGAAAACACGTCTCGGCCTCTACTTAGTTCACCCGATTAAAAGAAAAATTTACTTTTACCAAAATTAGTTTTGAGAAAAACGGCTGAAGTAATCGGCTACTAGACCTTACCTCACTTAAATATATCAGTTACTCTAACACATTAGGGATTGTTAAGTTATTTTGAATTAATAAAAAATCTTATTTAATTAATTCAAATTAAATATACATTAAATACTTATAATATAAATTACCATATGTAATGTTTATTTAAAATCTTATTTAATTATTCTGAATTAAATATCAATTAAAAGAGTTGTAATCAAAATTACATTCTTTTAATGTTTACTTACTATATTTGGGATAATTAAAATCATATATATATATATATATATATATATATAGATATATAATATATATATATCAATACATATATTAATTAGATATATTTTAGTAACATACAACAAATTGTACATCTTTGCTCATTTCAATCCTAGGGTGCGACCTTGTAGGTTCTTGTAACGTTAGTAGTAATTATTAGAACAATTCTAATATTACATACAATGAGTGGCATCTAGCAATATATCATTGCCCATCTATTGTTTCTTGATATCTAGAGTAGACTATAATTAACGAATAATTTGTGATATCACATATCAACTTATTCGAGCATGGACATGCATTTATAGTCTCAATCAATCAAGTGGCCTGTGATATATTTCCTATTATGTAGTAAGGACAAATCATATCTTAATCATACACACCATACTACATATATTGATATATATTCAATAACAGTCTTTATAGTGCAACCAGTTACGGAGCATGTTTAACTGTATCAAAACATACAACAATATATGTTGGGATGACATTGATCTCAAGTATGAGGATCATACATATAATCATCACCATGAGCAATGTTATGACTGTTACATAATAATCCAAGAAATATGCTTATGATGGGTCAAGCCAATACATTGTTCTCTAACAATATATTCATGTATCAATTCTGACATCTCTATGTCAATGACAACTCGTTGTATCAATCAATAACATGTTAATCTTAAGTGTATTATTATTTTCCATGCCCATAATAATACTTGACTATGAATCTTTTAATAATGTTATTATATGGACTTTATTATCTTTCAGTTTATGTTAAACACAGACATATAACTGAAAATAATAGGGGTAATGCCTTTATTCAATAAAATCGGTAAATAAATGTATTTTTATAATCATATGATTGGTCTTTGGGCATATTCTAACAATATCCCACTAGCACTAAAACCAATAGCTCACATATCTAATACCGAGTGACTCAGTGTGATGATCATGCCTCTGCTATGTAAGAGGCTTCGTCAAGGGATCATCAATGTTGTAATCCATGTGTATTCTGCATATTTCCACATCTCCTCAATCTATGATATCTCGAATGAGATGAAAGCGCCTAAGAATATGTTTGGATCGTTGATGAGATATAGGTTCCTTTGCATGTGCAATGGCCCCATTATTGTCACAATCCAAACAACATCTTTTGTTGCTTTACTGGATGCAATGTATTCAACCTTTATTGTAGAATCTGCTATTGTATCTTGCTTCGAACTTTTCCAGCTCACAGCACCTCCATTAAGACAAAACACAAAACCCGATTGCGATCGTGAGTCATCATTTTCAGTTTGGAAGCTGGCATCATTATAACCTTTTACACTAAGCTCTTCTTCCTCTTCATAGACAAGAAATTTATCCTTAGTTATTCTTAAGTACTTAAGGATATTTTTAACCGCAACCCAGTGTTTTTCACCAGGGTTTGCTTGATACCGACTCGTCATGCTTAAAGTATACGATACATCTGGTCGAGTACATATCATGGCATACATGATAGAACCAATAGTCAAAGCATATGGAATCTTATTCATCTGTTCTCTTTCTTGTGGAGTTGATGGACACATTCCTTTCGAAAGAGAAATGCCATGTCTCACAGGTAAAAATCCTTTCTTGGATTCTTCCATATTGAACCTTTTCAACACTTTGTCTATATATGTACTTTGACTCAGACCTAGAAGTCGTCTTGATCTATCTCTATAGATCTTAACTCCTAAGATATACGTTGCCTCACCCAAATCTTTCCTAGAAAAATAACTACCTAACCAAGTCTTAACAGACTGTAAAGTAGGTATAGCATTTCCTATGATGAGTATGTCATCTACATACAAGATTAGAAAAGAAACAATGCTCCCACTAGTCTTCTTATAAACACAAGGCTCATCTTCATTTTATGATAAAACCAAATTCTTTGATTGCATCATTGAAATGAAGATTCCAGCTTCGAGAAGCTTGCTTTAGTCTATAAATAGACCCTTGTAGCTTACAAACCTTTCTAGCATTTCCTGGAGCGACAAAACCTTTTGGTTGTGTCATATACACATCATCTTTAAGTTTTCCATTAAGGAAAGCGATTTTGACATCCATTTGCTAGATTTCATAATCATGGAATGTAGCTATTGCGAGAAAAATCTGGATGAACTTAAACATAGCTATAAGGGAGAATGTTTCATCATAGACTACACCATGAACTTGTCGAAAACCTTTACGACTAATCGCCCTTTGTATGTTGTACATTACCATCCATGTCGGTTTTCTTCTTGAAAACCCATTTACACCCTATAGGATTGACCCCTTCAGGTGGTTCGACCAAAGTCCACACTTAGTTTACTGACATGGAATCCATCTCATATCTCATGGCTTCAAGCCATTTCTCATAGTCTGGGCTAGACACTACCTCTTTAAAAGTCCCAGGCTCATCTTGATCCATAAGAAGATCATCTCCATGTGCAGTAATGAGAAAACCAAATCTCTCACGGCATTTCTTATGGATTTGCGCAGGGGTTGTGTTTCTAAATATGTTAATTATTCCTCAACAACTTGTGAAACATGCTCAACTTCAGGTTCAATGATCTGTTGTTCTTGAACTTCTCCAAGTTCAATATTTCTACCATTCCCTTTCTTTGAGAGAAATTCTTTTTTGAGAAAAACTCCTGTTTGAGCAGCAAACACTTTGTTCTCATTAGGGTTGAAGAAAGAGTATCCCTTAATTTCTTTAGGATATCCAACAAATATACACTTATGAGATTTAGGTTCGAGCTTTGTAGACAT